CTGAGTGCCGGGCCCGGCTGCCATTAATTATTAAAGGAAATCAGAGCATTTCCTAGCAAACAAGACCAGCGAATGTCTGTTACAGGAAAGCACCAGCTTCCACTCCCGGATCCTCCAGGAACAAGGGGCGCGAGGCAATTACACTGCCGAGATTCTTCCTTCGTTAACTCCAGAGAGGGGCAGGGGAGAGAGGGGCCAGAGCCCAGACAGCACAAATCAGCAGAAGTTGATGGAGCCACTGATTTACACCAGCTGGGCCCTGGCCTTTCGGATCTGCAAATGGCCACACCGGGTCACCGGGTCTCCACTGACTTTATCCTCCTGCTGGGAGCCCGTGTGAGGGAACGATCCTGCATTGGCTGGAGTGGGGTGGGGGGTGGAATGGGATCTAACGGGTCTTTGCAGGTGGCGACTCGTGGGATTTTACTTTTAATAAGCGGCCCGCGAGCGGAGCAGCCCCGGGAGCAACTTCCATAAAGAGCCTGGCAATGTGCCAGGGCAAACCCAAACTGCAGCACCCCGCCGGCTGCCTAATGGCAGAGAGTGAGCGTGTGCGTGCAGCCCACGTCCACGCCTGGGTCTGCCAGTGTGCCACGCCTGCGTGGCGGGCGCTGGCTGGATCTGGTCAGGACAGACATTGGGAGACACGAGGGTGGGAATGGGGGACCGCAGGGAAAGCCGGCGGCTTCCAGGCCATCTCCCGGGTCAGCGGGCCCCCAGGTGCCCTGGCTCTCGTGTGGCGGTCTGGGATAGGCACTGCCCAGCCAGAGGTACATACGCTCCCAGGCTGCTGCCTGACTAGTTCCTTGGCTGGCCTGGGTCGGCCCCCTGGAAATCAGGCCCGGTTTCTCCCCAGCGCTGGGGCTCTCCTCGCTTTCAGCATGCACAGTGTTCAACGGTCACCCCGGGGGCCAGGCCGGGTTAACCAGCTCGGCGAGAGCGTTAGACGGGGACCCTGGCAACGGCAGGCCAGACCTCATTCAGCGCTCAAGGGGTTAATTCAACCCACAGCACCCCAGACTTGTGCCGGGGGGCGTTTTGCTCCTGCACCCAGGGCTTGAGCGGGAAGCCTTTGGCCCCTCTCCAGAGGGCCGATCCTGGGTCCCAGCACACAAGGAAGACAGGATCAGGCCCCTGGTGTACAGCTCGGAATAGAGGCGGCTGTGGGGCTAGACCCCAGCTCTATGACGCTCTGCTCGGGGAGCTGCTCCCTGCCACCCGGGGACATAACACTTCCCACAGGGCCAGATCCTCGCCGGGCGTAAATCAGTAGAGGGCCTAAATCTGCTTGAATATGGGAGCGATGTTGTTCTTTTCCACTGCAACAAATTCAGGTGTCTCACCCTCCCGTGCACAGCCCGGCTCTGCTCTGCCCCTCCCTCCCGTCTCCTCTCAAGGCACGCTCCCTGCCCAGGGTGCCAGCCTCCGCTTTGCCCACTCCCCCATCCCGCAGTGCCCCGCTCCACCGGCCCCACTCCCTGCACAGCTCTGTGACATCCCTGCCCTCCTCATCCCAGTGCCCTGCTTCTCCAAGGACACCTGTCCAAGAGTCCCAGCTAGAGAACACGCCCCTGGGAATTGATCCAGACCAGCTCTACTGGAGTCAAGAGACCCCTGCTGATTTACGCTCGCAGAGGGTTTGGCCTGGTGCATTTCGTCTCTGCCCCCCAACCCTCCATGCATCGCTTATTGTCTTGCACTCGGATCCCAATGGTGCATTTGGAAAGGCCAAGCGTGATCCTCCAAACCCTAAGGATTAATTAGCGCCTCTACCCAAACCCTGGACTGAAAATCCCACTCTGGGGAACCATGGTTTTGCCCTGGTAAAATTTCTCTTCAGTCAGGGAGAGGGAATCACCCAGCCCTTGGAGTTGGCGGGGGGGGGGGAAGCAACTTGGGAAAGGATGTTGAAAGATTTAAAAGGAAAAAAGATCCCCATCAAGTGCAATTAGCCAGGAGCTCAAATTGTTCCTGCCTTTGATCAATTCCCTCAGCTGACATTGACAGAAGGGAGATCTGGGCCAGGGTGCCTGGGGATCAGGAGAAGGCAGCGAAGTTAAGGACAGCCTCACGCTCCCAGGAAGGGGTTCGGTGCCTTTCTAACTGCGCCAGTTTGAAGAACTCCTGCGTGTTTCTGGACCCATTGTCCCACCCCCCGCCCCCAAGCAGAGCCCGCCAGCATTATTAGCCAGGGGCATTAATTTGGACAGCGGAGTTAATACCTGGAACAAAATCCAACACACATTCTGTACTGCAGGAAACCTGTCTAAGTGCAAACCTTCTCCCCCCTCTGACCTCAGAATTCAACCTGACCTCTCCAGGACAGCAGGAAGGTTCGGTTACAAGGCCAGGCTGGAAATCTTTTACTAAGCATAATTTTTGTTGGGTTAGGCAATATGGGAGCCCCGAAAAGCGGGGAGGAATCTTGGAATTTGTCAGTTTCCCTGTGAACGTCTGGTTCTGCCTGTTATTGCAACCAGTGCGAGGGGGAAAATAAATCTCCCCTTTCATCCTACGCCATTCTGCCCTGCCATTCTGCCCTGCGTTACGTATTTATTTTTCAATCTGAGTTTCGCCCCTCCCCTCCCTGGCAGGGGGCTGGGAGGGTTAATTGCTCAGTGTTTGCAAAGCGCTGTAGGAGTGCTAACAGGGGCAGAACCCAGCCTCGGACACACAGAGGCCCCTCTCCGCTGATCGGAGCTGGGCGTGCGGCTCCAAGGGCAGAATTTAGCTAAGCACAGCCGCTGTGTCTGACGTTGCAGGTGGTTATTCCCTCAGCCATCAAGGCTGCCTGGCCTAAAAGATGCTTCTGTGGACTGGCCCCACCAAGCCCAGGAGTGGAAGAAGGGGCTGCTGATCCCTACGGCGAGCATTAGCAATAGCACTGAGGAAAGGCAGGGCACGGTGCAGGTCCAGAAACCTAGCCCAGGTCAGCTGTGAAAGTCCAGCTCCACCCTCCTCGGTGCCCCGCACATAGCCCTCCTGGCTGGGTTCGAAGGATTTTCTGCTTTTCCCCAGTGTCAGGCACAATCTGGGAGGGTGCTTCAGAGAGATGGGGCAGAATTCCTGCTAATCTACCCTGCTTTGTCTGGTGCCATCTGGTCCACAGAAAGTACCTCAGTGTAACCTTTGGGGATAGATAGATAGATAGATAGATAGATAGATAGATCTTTTGTATGGTTATGATCACAGGGTTTTAAAATAAGCCTTTACAATTTCTCCAGGGATCGCCACACAAACACCACCCCAAAATACATTTAATAGATAAAGTCCTGCTCAGCCTGCTTGCTTCTGATGCTTAAAACTAGCCTAGACTCAGAATTAGGAAACAGAGAAAACAGAACAGCCTGCTTGGGGATAGACCAGACAGGAACTAAGAGGTCTTTACCGTCTCCTCCACAATTCTACCCTGGATATTTCAGTTTTGTTTGACAGTTTGAGGTGAGTGTCCAAGTCCAGAACAGCAGGAGGGAAATGATACATTACACCCAAGGAGCTGCTGTGTCACAGGCTGCAGGGAAGGAGGCTACATTAAGATCAGGGCTTAGACCAAGGTTTGGCCAAGTTCACTGCCTCTTGTTTCATAGAGAAGGTTAGGAAAATACCCAGCTAGGGGAATTTTGCCTAAAGTCAAGCGCTCCAGCACCTTTCCTTCTTCTGTGAAAAGCCAGCTGGACAGTGAGTTGGAAAGACAACAGAGATGCTAAATCATATTATATATCTATCTACACACACACACACTTTACATATTATCTAATGCACGTTATTTTCATAATCTCAATTTCCTCTCTGCATAACTGAACTAAAATAAATGCTCAAGGAGAGCAGAAATCAAAGCTTTGGCAACATTCAAGATCAATACAAAAACCAATTTAAATCAAAGGAAGCACAAATCTATGTCCTCCAAGCACAGAGACATGGGATTCACATATTCCTGTTTAGCAGTATACCGAAACAATCTAATGGGGATGAAGTCAGGTCCACTGTAGACAGACGTAGCCATCCCACACAACAAAGAGAGGTGTCTATCTGTGCATTAGAAACCTGAAAAGGAAGCCTGCCACGCTTCTAAATTTCCACATTGAAATCCATCAGCCTGGTATGGAGCATCAATAAAGCAACCGATTAAAAAACCAAATCCAACCCAACCCCACACATCTACCAGTACTGAGAACTTTCCCGGCCACTTAGAGTCATGGATCTGAAGTTTCAACCCTCTGGGTGTTAGGCAAGGGAGGAGAGGGGGGGAAAGGAACAATTTTCCCTGCATCTTGGAGACCCTCAGCTGTCTTGGCAACAGAGTTTTGCCGTTTCAGCCAGAAGTGTTAATTTCAAAACACTTTCCAGCGGCCTGGGGAAAGGAAACGCAAAGCCGGTTTTTTAAAGTCATGTCAACTGAGCTCCCTCGTCCCTTCCAATCTAAATCGTTTCGACGCTGTGGAGAGATACATCTGAAAGCATTTATATTTCTGCAAGTTCTGACGGTTTGCACAGCTCTAAGAACAACCCCCAAAAGCACGTTTCTCTCTCTCTGGTCTCCTTGGTACCAGAACAGGTCTAAATGGTTCATCATCGCTCGACGCGTCGACAAAACGATGGTAATATTAACCCTCCCGAACTTGAGGGGGAGGGAAAAGGGAAGGATAACATTTACTAAGAACAAAAAAACCTGGGGTCAGAAATTCCTTCGTTAATTCTCCTTCCAGGAAGCCTCAGTTTACTTCTTTGGCCGTTTCCTCACCAACCAGCTCAAACAATAGAGGCCAATTAGAATAAAACTAACAACTGCCCTCCATAAACCCGCTCCCCCTCGAGCATAAAGCTGTGGGTCAGGTGTGTACTGGTCTGGCAAGTACCATGCCCCCACACAGAAGCAAGCACTCAGCCGGACTGGCTTTCGGGGCTCTGGCTCTGGGAGGACGTGTGCGCCTGCACAGAGCGGTGGCATGACAGATTGCTCTGCTGTGAAGTGTCAGGGCTGGGGCCGGCTGGTCCCTTACCTCTGGGCTGCGGTGTTGGCATCCAGGATCCCAGTGCTTTGCATCCAGGACCTTACGGATGTCAGTCCACTGGTCAAGGGTTCTTCTTTCATGGTCAGCCCTCCTCTGGGGAGACCCTCCTGGATGGAGAACATCAAAACCGCCTTTGAAAGGGGAAGGGGGGGGATCAGCTCGCCCCTCAGCGCCCCCAGGCCACCTCCCGGGGGGAGACAGGAATCCAGGCTCCACTGAAGCAATGGACACCAAAAGTTTGTTTGGCCAAACTTCTAGAAAATGCTATTTAAAAAGGGGGGGGGGGTCCGAATCCCCAAAGCCCCAGGCAGCCCCCAGCTCTGCAGCTGATCCCAGATCCCAGCTCAGAGCAACACAGGGCTCTGGATCCGGCGCAGGCTCAGGCCAGTGTCCTCCTGGCCACCTCCCGCCCAGCAACAGCCCAGGCGACCCCCAGGTGCCAGGGGCGACTGTCCCAGCAGCCAGGGAAGCCGCATCTGGGGTTGTTTGTTTCCAAGTGCGGCGAAGGGGTGGTGCTCGGGGGGGGTGGGAGGTCCAGGGAAGTTGGAGAGAGGAGCAGGAGCCAAGTGGAAATCAGCAGCGGGGAGGGGCAGCTTCGCGCGGGGAGGGGAAGCGGAGCAGGGCAGGAAATCCCAGCGGCGGGGCCGGGGAGGAGGCGGAGGGATGGGGCCGGCGGAGGGATGCGGGGAGCCGGGATGCAGGCGCGGGGCCGGGGCGCTGGTTACCATCCAGGCGGGGGCAGCGGGCAGCAGCCGCCGCCGCCGCCGCGGGCGCTCCCGGGGGAGCCGCGGGGCCGGGGCGCCGGGCCGGCCGCCTCCCCGCCGCCTCCTGCCGCTGCGGCTCCTCCGCCCCTCGCCGGGCAGCAGCACCATGAGCAGCAGCAGCCGCCCGGCCGCCGCCGCCGCCGGCCCGGCCCCCGGGGAGCCGCCGCTCTGCGCCCGCGGGCGGCCCGCTCCCCTGCCGGCCTGGCCGACCCGGGCCATGCCGCCGCCGCCGCCTCCTCCCCGGGGAGGGCGGGCGGGCGGCGGGGCCGGAGCCGGAGCCGGGCAGGCTGACATCATTCCGGGGAGGAGCGGCCCCTCCCCGAGCCGGCGGCGGGGGGCGAGGGGCAGCGCCGGGGCAGGGAGCGGCTCCCCCGGCGGCCGCCCCTGAGTCCGCCCGCTGAGCGGGACCCCCAAGCGGCCCCCCCAAAATCCACCGGGTTAAAGGGCCCCCCAAAATCCACTGGGTTAAAGGGACCCCCAACGCGGCCCCCCACACCCACCAGGTTAAAGGGACCCCCAACACGGCCTCCACCAGGTTAAAGGGCCCCCCAAATTCCACTGGGTTAAAGGGCCCCCCAACGCAGCCCCCCCAAAATCCACTGGGTTAAAGGGACCCCCAACGCGGCCCTCCAAATCTACCAGGTTAAAGGGACCCCCAACGCGGCCCCCACCGGGTTAAAGGGCCCCCCAACGCGGCCCCCCCAAAGTCCACTGGGTTAAAGGGCGCCCCAATGTGCCCCCCCAAATCCACTGGGTTAAAGGGCCCCCCAACGTGGCCCCCCAAAATCCACTAGCTTAAAGAGACCACTAAGGCGGCCCCCCACATCCACCAGGTTAAAGGGACCCCCAACACAGCCCTCCAAATCTACCAGGTTAAAGGGACCCCCAGCGCAGCCCCCACCAGGTTAAAGGGCTCCCCAACGTGGCCCCCCACATCCACCAGGTTAAAGGGAACCCCAAGGCAGCCCCCCCTACCCACCAGGTTAAAGGGACCACCAATGCAGCCCCTCAAACCCAGCAGGTTAAAGGGACTCACAATGCACCCCCCGAATCCACCAGGTTAAAGGGATCCCCAATGCTCCCCCCCAATCCACCAGATTAAAGGGACCCCCAACATGCCCTCCAAACCCACCAGGTTGAAGGGACCCCAACACGTCCCCCAAAATCCTCCTAGTTAAAGGGACCCCAATGCAACCCTCCCAAATTCACCAGGTTAAAAGGACCCCCAACACGGCCTCACCAAATGCACCAGGCTAAAGGCCTAATACAGCCCCCAAAATCTACCCAGCCAAAGGGACCTCCCAATATGGGTCCCCCCAATCCACCAGGTGAAAGGGACCCCAATACTACCCCCAACTTCACACAGCTCAAGGACACACTAATGCACCCAAATTAATAGACTTCCCAATACTGCCCCCAAAAGGCCCCCCAATGCTGCCCCCAAGCTGCCCCCAAGTCCACCCCTCCAAGGGGAGCTCCAATATTGCCTCCCCAAATCCACCTAGTTAAGTGGGCTCCCATGTTGCCCCCCAAATCCATTCAGCTAAAGGGACCACCCAATATGCCCTCATTCTCCCCAATGCTGCCCCCCCATCCATCCATGTAAATGGCACCTCAATACTGGCTCCCCAATTCACCCATGAAAGGAATCCCCCATACCAAATTACTGCTGCCCACTGTCTAGAGACACCCGCAATCCTGCTAATCTAAACCACCCAAACTAACAGCTCCCCCATAATCCACTTTATCCAAAAGGACCCCATTACAGTCCCCCCCAAACCCTCCCATCTAGAGACCCCCAAAATGCTCCCCCTTGGCAACCCCTAGTTCTGTACCCTTCAATGGATCTTTGTAAGGAGCCCCCAATTCTGCACCCCGAGCTGCATCTAGCAAAAGGGATTCCTCAAATTTTGCATCCTAAAGGCTTCCGGTGAAAGGGGCTCCCCTGTAGTGCCCCCCCCCCACATCCACCCCCGCTCAAGCAAATCCTCAGTGTCACCCCTCAACATCTTGTCAGGGAGATCAGGGCCACACCATTTGCTCAGCCAAGCTCAGCAAGCCTCACCCACTGCACTCCAACAAGTGGGACCTCCCCATCTGCACCCCAACCTCCAGCCCCGCTAAGGACACCTGGAGATTAGCTGAAAACCCTGGCCAAGGAGAAGGACAAACAGTGGACTGGGGAGGTGGGATGCAATCACTAATGGGGGCAGCGCTGCAAGGATGGGAAATAACGGCGGGGGCCAGGAGACGTGGGTAGAAAATAAAATAGGGTCCCCTGGGAACCCTGCAGCTGACACATCTGGGGGGAAAGAACCTGGATGCTCAGCAGGAGGGTGGGTGAGGAATGGCTGAGACACGTAGCGGGCTGGGCAGGCAGCCAGTTTGACACGGGTTCCGTCTACACTAGAGCGGTGACAGCAGAGCCGCGGTTCTTCCAGCGCTGGAGCTGCTCTTCCTCTCCGAGAGGCAGCAGCTCGGTCGGTGGAGGAACCCTTCCGTCCCCGAGCGGCGTCCGGAGCGCGCCGTCCCCCCAGCCCGCGCAGGGCGTTAAGCTGCCCTGTTTGCTGTGCAGAGTAGCCCGTGGGTTAGTACCGAGCTGTGGCTCCCAGAAAGGGCCAGGGGCGTTCTGGGCTGCAAGCGGCAGAGAGAAGCAAGGCGCGACTTGTCCCTGCAGCCCAGAACCTAGCAGGCTTCCCAGGGCTGCTCTGCGCTGCAAAACCAGGTCAGCTTGGCGGCATCACCCCGGGCTGGGGAGCACGGCTCGGCCGACGTGCCATAGTTCAGCCAGCTGAAGCCCCAGCGCGGCCGGAAGAATTCTCCCGGCGGCCTAGCTGCTGCCTCGCAGAGAGGTGGATTTCCTACGGCGATGGAGGTCGCTGTCCGAAGTGTCTGCACTGCAGCACTCCAGCGTTTCTGGTGTAGACACAGCCTACGGGGGACTGGGCATTGATATGGACAAGACTAATCAGGGCTGCCAGAGGGAATGACCCTGCTGGAAGGGAGAGGCTGCCTCATGCACCAGAGTTTAAATAGGTTTCAGAGGAACAGCCGTGTTAGTCTGTATTCGCAAAAAGAAAAGGAGTACTTGTGGCACCTTAGAGACTAACCAATTTATTTGAGCATGAGCTTTCGTGAGCTACAGCTCACTTCATCAGATGCATACCGTGGAAACTGCAGCAGACTTTATATACACACAGAGAATATGAAACAATACCTCCTCCCACCCCACTGTCCTGCTGGTAATAGCTTATCTAAAGTGATCAACAGGTGGGCCATTTCCAGCACAAATCCAGGTTTTCTCACCCTCCACCCCCCCCCACAAATTCACTCTCCTGCTGGTGATAGCCCATCCAAAGTGACAATAACTTTCAGGGTGAGACCTTCCTGGGGGCAGGCTAGCCCACACCTGCTACTGCAGGGTTCTCGCACCTTCTGCAGCAGCCGGTGCTGGCCCACCAGAGACTGGACACCAGCTCTCGGGGCTGAGCCAGTCCGGCCATTTCTCTGTCCCTGTCCGGGGAGAGGCTGATTAGTGCCTTGGTGCCAGGGCAGGGCGTTCCCCAGGGGATCATGATGCGGCGGCAGGGGGTTCAGGGAGGGGATGCCGGTGGGACCGGTTTGGGAGGAAAGCTGAAAAAAGCGAATCGGTCTGGATTAGCTGAGCAAGAGCCACGATCCCAGTCTAGGGGCATGTGAGGGGCCCGCACCCCCAGGAGGGAGAGGAGTTAAGAGTGGAACGTGGGGTTCTGGCCAGCAAGTAACGGGATGAGATTAAGAACATTTTGGCTGGACATCAGGACGTTTCCTGGCAGGAGAAGTCTCTGGCTTTGGGTTGTTTCCGTACAGAAAGGGTGGGAGCTCTGTTGCTTGGCGTCTGTAGCACTAGACTGGGCAAAGCCCTGGGGAATGCCGCACAAGGATCAGTTCTGGAGAGGGCTGTTTGTTGACACTATCGATACCCAGGGGTGCTCTACCAGTTCTTTTCCATTGTGAGCTGCTTGTCAGCACCCAGCCCTGACGAAAGGAGCTCACTGCTGCACCCCACGCCCGGCCCACTGCACCCGGCCGGAGGGCTCGGAGATCCCGGGCGCAGACAGCCGAGCTCTCCAAAGGGATCCGTATTTCTGTGCCCCAGCCCAGGTGGAAGGGGCTGCAGTCCTGACCCCACCAGCCAGCCAGGCCGGAAGGAGAGATTCTCAGCCCTTCGCTCTGTTCCCCTTCCCAGCGCTCAGGTCCCCTGCGGGGAGAGCCATGTCATTTGAAAAATACAATTGCAACCGCAAGGAATGGGCTGCTCCGGCACACACGGGTGAGCTCCCGGGACCTGTTGCTGCTGGGCAAAGGGGGCTGGAGAAGGAGGAAGGTCTGTGGCTAAGGCACGGGCCTGGGGTGCAAAGGACCTGGGTGAGTTTCTGCCTCTGCTGCAGGCCCATGGGGCTGGGCCTGGCTCCCCCGCCAGGCGGTGAGACCTGGCACCCTGGGTTGCAGCACCATGCAGGTGTGACTCCACGATGGGGCAGGCAGGCCAAACTTCAGCAAGTGGCGCTGGGCCGTGCCCTGGCATCATGACACAAGGGTGGGCCAAGCCTGAGTGGCACCGTGAACCCATATGCCAGGGCACGCTGGGAATGGGGCACCTGGCCCAGCTCCCAGTGGACAGGAGCGTCCGTTGTGGGGTGAGCTCGGGACATCAGGCCCAGCCCCAGGGGACAGGAGCCGCTGCTGCCTGGAGCAGCAACTGCCCCAGCTTCTGTGCCACACTGGTGGGATGAGGGGCTGGCGGTGCCTGGGCGCAGCGGGTGGTCAGTGCCCCCCAGGGCGGGCGAGGAGGTGGGCATTATTTAATCAAACTCCATAGAGCAGTCAAGGGAGATTTAGCGACCGGGGACTCTGCTGTCTTTTCCTGGGGCTGCTCCCCAAAAACACCAGGGCCCGGCTGCAGCCCGAGGCCGAAGCAGCGAGAGGTTAGGGGCCCACGGAGGGAGGCGTTCCTTCCTGACCCTGGCAGTTGCGGGGTGGCTTGTGCCCTGGAGGGTTCATCGCCCAATCAAGTGATTTCCCTGCCTGAGGCAAGGGAGGGTCAGCGCCCCAGCCAGCGAGGGGCAGCCCCAGGCAGGCCCCAGTGAACACGGTGGGCCGAGAGGTGAGATCACCTTCTCTAGGGCCTTGTGGAGAACTTGGAGCCTGGCACCCAGCTGGTATGGGGCAGGGAAGGGAGAGCCGCG